CTGCTCAGCGGGAAGCCTGCTTCTCCCTCTCCCTCTGCTTGTGTTCCCTCTCTCGCTGTGTCTCTCTCTGTCAAATAAATAAATAAAATCTTTAAAAAAAAAAAAAAAGAAGGAAATCCTGCCATTTGCAGCAACATGAATGAAACTTGAGGGCATTATGCTAAGTGAAATAAGTCAGACAGACAAAGACGAATACTATGTGATCTCACTTATTTGTGGAACCTGAAAAAAAACTGAAGTCACAGAAACAGAGAACAGATGCTGTTGCTGGGGGTGGGGGAAATGGGTGAAGGTGGTCAAAGGGTACAAACTTTCAGTTATAAGATGAATAAATTCTGGGGATGTAATGTACAGGATGGTGACTATAGTTAACAATGCTGTATCGTATATTTGAAAGTTGCTGAGAGAGTGATTTTAAAAGTTCTCACCACAAAAAAAAAAAGTGACTATGTGAGGTGATGAATGTGTTAACAAACCCTACTGTGGTGATCATTTCACAATATATACATATAGCGAATCATTATGTTGTACACAGTGTTATATGTCAATTATATCTCAATAGAGCTGGGAAAGAAATAATACAAGATTTTAAAAATTCAAGATATTAGGGAAAAATGTCATTTAAAATGCATTTCAAAGGACACTATTTCAGGCACTAACTGTATTTGGAAACACTTTCTGGCTCATTCATTTCTTGGTCTGATATTTTCATTTGTTACATATCCATTCTTGGCATGTATAGACCATTGATTGAGGATCCATTGTGTGGACAGCAGATGCCAAGCGCTGAGGGAAATGAGGAAGGACAGAAAGTCCTATGCAAGTTATCTGTGCATGTTGCCAACCACGACACCATCTGCAGTTAGGTACATAACAAATAATAGGTTTTGTATAGTTGTCAAATTAGGCCTTTTGGGAGAACACGAACCATGAGATCTGATAATAAAAGCAGAATCTATGTTCATATTCTAAGTATGAACCTGGTGAGTAGACTGTAGACAAACAAAGGGGAAAAGAACTGATTATTGGGACTAAAAATAAAGGACAGATAAGGACAAGAATCCTTCATCCATTCTCAGCTAAGAACATCTTTGCAGTAGGAGCGCCTGGGTGGCACAGTCGTTAAGCGGCTGCCTTCGGCTCAGGTCATGATCCCAGGGTCCTGGGATCGAGCCCCACACCGGGCTCCCTGCTCCGTGGGAAGCCTGCTTCTCCCTCTCCCACTCCCCCTGCTTGTGCTCCCTCTCTCTCACTGTGTTTCTCTCTCTGTCAAATAAATAAATAAAATCTTTTTAAAAAAAAGAACATCTTTGGAGTAATCTTTCCAGCTCCTGAATATAACCCTTGGGATTCCAGACATGCTGCCTTCTCACGTGGCCCTTCCTATGTTCTGTAATTTGAGGCTGCCCCGAAGTGTACAGTTGGTGCAAGCACCATGACCTCTTCCTCCTTGGCCTTCTTTTTGGCATCATCCAACTTCTTCTTTTTACTTTCAGGCATGAGATCATCTAACCAGCTCAGCTCTCGTTTAGAGAAACAGAGATCCATGACTTTCCTGACAAAGACCAACGCCAAAACCTGAAGAAAAATAAAGAAAGGGAATTAAAGGAGTTCATTTCCTTCCTGGAGTTAAACACTATGGCATTTCAAGGAAAAGCAAACTCATAGTAATCATAATAGTTGCCTATTATGGAGTGTCCTCTTTGTACCGGATACACAGGTGAGTGTTTTCTATGTAGTATTTTATTTAACTATCATCATAACAACCCTACAACTTAGAGAGCACCCAATTTAATGTCCTCATGGAAAAGAGACACCCCTCATCCTCAGAGGGCCCGAAGAGTTGCCTTTCCCTGTGGTGGGACCGGCAGGAAGGGCTGTAGGGCAGTCCTGGGGGAGAGAGGCTTTGCCAGAGCACAGCTATGGAGACCCCAGCCACACTCAGCCCAAGCATGCCTCACCATGGCAGGAAGGGACTCTGAAGGACCATCAGAATTCCCTCTGATCCTTCGCCTCGACATTTCCCCACAAAATCCTTGCTTCGTGCCTGCATTGTGAATTGCTAGTGTTTTGTGTCTCTGCCCTCCGGACTGGCCTGACACTCCTTTCGTAAATGAGGAAACCGAGGCCCAGGGAGAGAAAGTAACTTGCCTAAAATCCGACAGCTAATTTCCTCAACTGTCCAAGGACAGGATGCCTCAACTGCTGCCCCACTTTTTTCCCATAAAAGGCCATTTTTGCCAAAGGGGGATTAATAATAACCCAGAATGACCGGCCTGGAGTGGCTGGTGTTCACCAGCTACATCTGGTGGCTGGACAGGAATGAGGCAAATCAGGCTTCTTATGTTCAACCACGTTTCTCCTTCATGTCCACAACTACTCTCTCAATAAAGCCAAAATCAATAGTATCCCTTCCAAGGGGTTGTCAGGCATTTGCTGTTTCTTTAACCAAACAGTCAACCCCTGAATATAACACCCAAATGCAGAAACCCACTTGAACTGACAAAAATTGAGAGATCCATCAGGAGGTACATGTGTAGGAGATGAGGGGAGAAGAGTCCCCCTCACCCCCATTTTCCTCACCCTTGAATATTCTCCCAGTAAGACAGAGTTCCAAAGTCCCGAAACAAGCACCAAACATTACCCCTATTGCCTTTTCTCTCTAGAGGCCCATGCTTTGGGTCATTTTCAAACAGCCCACAGAATGCTCCGCAGCCTCATGACCCCGGGTAAGCCAGAGAGGGGAAGGTAACAAGAGGAGAAGATGAGACCGTGAGGATGTCGGGTGGCAAGAATTTCATCCTCACCCTAGTGGCAGGAAACAGCCTGTCACCTGTGGTACCACACACAGTTCAGCTTCCCTAGTGCCTTTTCCAAAGCCTCTGCTTCAGCTCGAGAGGAGGTGAGGATGTCCCAATCACTTCTCAGTGCTGGGCCAACTTCTTCCTAAATTCCAGTGGCTTAAAACAGTGCATTTCCACCACTTCGGGCACATCTGATTGCAATGAATTCTAAACTGGAACTATGTTGCTCTGAAGTAATATGCAAATTATCAAATTATTGAAAACATGAAGAATCCTCTCCATGTCAGAGTCACGAGAGAGAGAGAAGAGAAGAGAAAGGGAGGAACGGAGGAAGACAGACTGATGGACTTGAAAGTAAAGATGGCAAGCTGCCCCACACATGCATCCACACCTCAAGGTCCCCAAATAATGCTGCTCCTGCAAAAGCCAACCAGAAAACTCGCCACCAATAAGGGATTCATATCCAGAATAGATGGAGAACTCCTAGAACTCAACAACAACAACAACAAAAACAAACAATCTGATTAAAAAATTGGCAAAGGACTTGAATAGACTTGTCTCCAAAGAAGATATACAAGTAGTCAATAAGCACATGAAAGGGCGCCTGGGTGGTTCAGTCGTTAAGCGTCTGCCTTCAGCTCAGGTCATGATCCTGGAGTCCTGGGATCAAGCCCCGCATCAGGCTCCCTGCTCTGGGGGAAGCCTGCTTCTCCCTCTCCCACTCCCCCTGCTTGTGTTCCCTCTCTCGCTGTGTATCTCTCTGTCAAATAAATAAATAAAATCTTTAAAAAAAAAATAAGCACATGAAAAGGGGCTCAACCTCACTAGTCATTAGGGAAATGCAAATCGAAACCACAATGAGATAGTACTTCACACACATTAGGATGGCTGATATCCAAAAATAACAAACAAAACTAAAACCCCCAAAGCAGAAAGTAAGTGTTGGCAAAGATGTGGACCAACTGGAACCCCATGTACTTATAAAATCGTGCTGCCGTTCCTCGAAAAATTAAAAATGGAATCACCATATGATCCAGGAATCCACTTTTAGGTATATACCACAAAGAAGTGAAAGTGGGAACACAAACAGATATTTGTACAATTCATGTTTATAGCAGCATTATTCACAATAGCCAAAAAGTGGGAGCAATCCAAGTGTCTGTCAATGAATGTACAGATAACCAAAAGGTGGTATGTATATATACATATATATATACAAATATACACACATACGCACACACACACACAGAGGAATATTATTCAGCCTTTCACAGGGAAATTCTGACACATGTTACAACATGGAAGAACCCCTTGGAGACATTATGCTAATAAGTAAAATAAGCCAGA